CACAGCCAGCGACCTACGCTCTCTGTCTATGTCGATGCTATCCTTGAGATCATCAGTGACCCAATGACCCAAGTACTTAAACTTATTCACCCAGCTTAAAGAACTACCACAAAGTGACACTCCAGGGACATCCGAGTAATTAATGGAGTTCGATTTAAATATCATGAGCTCACTTTTTTTCACATTGTACTTGAGCCCATGAGCCACCGCATAGGCCTCACAGATAGCTACAAGTCTTCTTAGACCACCAATCGATGGGCTCAGCAGCACCACATCGTCTGCATAGTTTATATTGTTCAAGCAAACTCCATCAATATAACAACCTGTGTGTGTACTGCTGAGCTCACCGATTAGGCGATTCATGTATAGGTTGAAAAGGCGAGGCGAGCTTAACCCCCCCTGCCTCACCCCGCATTCCATCTCATACACGTCGGATAGAATTCCTGACCATCTCACTCTATTTTTCTGATTACAATACCAGTAGTGGAACAAGGACGTGACTTCAGGTGGTAGTGTTGTCTCCTTTTTTAGCTTCTGCCAAAGGACCCCATAGGACACCATGTCAAACGCCTTTGACAGGTCCAGAAAACAGGCAAATACTGGCGTTTTTCTTTTTGTGTAATACTGAACAGTCTGCTTAAGGCACATGATGGCACTTTCCGTAGATAGTTCTGGTCTGAAGCCAAACTGGGCATCATGTAGTTCTATATGACTTGCAAGCTGTTTATCAAGCAGACTGTCCAGAACCTTAGCGACTATAGTAGCCAGGGAGATGGGTCTGTAGTTGGATACATCAGAGGCATCCCCCGTCTTATCTTTAACCACTGGTACTACAATTGTTTGCATGAGGTCCTCTGGCAAATAGCTATGATTTAGGCATAGATTAAATAACAGTGCAAGAACTCTCGGCAAATGCGGCCCTGCATGCTTCAGATGTTCGATGCTGAGGTCGTCATGGCCCGGCGACCTACCTTTGGACATGTTTTTAATTATAGAAGAAACTTCTTTCGCTGTGAAAAGCACAGTAAGCTCACCGTTCCCAGAAAGACTCCCAGCATCAAACACCTGCCGCTTATCAGTCTTTAAAGGAGACTCCACCGTGAAAGCATTCCTGAATAAGTTTGCAACATCCACTGGCACCGTCCGACCAGCCACACTCGCAGGGAGGCTCGACCTATCACACAATTTGTTAGTGGCCTTCCAAAATTTACCAAAATCCTTTTTTTTGTGACATTTCGCCAACATATCAAGTTTCATTTGTTCTTGATTTTTCTGAACATATTTTAATTTGGCTTTAAATATCCTCCTAGTTTCCTTCATTTTCTCATATACTTTACCCATGGTAGGTGCCCCATACAATAACCACATTTGATAACAAACCCGAGCCTCCCTGTGAGCAGCACTAACATGTCTGTTCCAGCCCGTCACATACTTTCTAGATTTAATGAAATCCTTACCAATATATGTACATAATGCACCCTCCCTGAGTATCGATACTGTCTCTTTATACAAATTATCTAATATCAGCAAGTGATCAGGGTTACTACAATGAGCCTTGTACGAACAATTTATACAGTCTACAGGGAAATCTAATAATTTAAATCTATCATTACAAAATTCATAATAATCACTAATTTGTTTATCATTTCTTTCATTCCATCTTATTTTGTTACTAGGAAAGCTCAAAGTTGAAAGTTTTTGAGTTATTTTTGTCATATTACAATGAAACATTACAGGATAATGATCAGACTGATAAACACCATATGCAACTGAACAGTTGCTAATCAGTTCTGCAGCCGCACCCGTCACGACTCCATGGTCTAACCAGCGCCGCGAGCCACTGGCCTGACATACAAAGGTGTGGGTGTCTTTAGGAAGGAGTTCATAGTCCACACAGGTCCACTCTTGGTCACTACATATAGAAATTAGTTCACGAAAGAAACGAGAGCCAGGGTGTGCATTGAAATCGCCCAGTATAACAACAGACTCTGTATCATTACTATCAATTATAGCTATTATCTCACTAAGGCATTGTGTAAATTGAATTAGATTGTCACTCTTACCGTTCTCATAAGGCATATAAATGGAGAATATTAGCAAGGGACGATTATCACACACAGTTTTGATAGCCACTAAATGATCACTTTCACACTTAACAATAGACACCGATGGAAATATTGCCCTCCTCCACATGAGAGCCACTCCCCCATAAGGTCTCCCCGTGATGATTTTGACCGACGTATCCATCGCTGACTTACTTATGCATGAGAAACCATCATCCAGTTTGTCCAGGAAACCCATATCATGAGGCCAGAGCCACGTCTCTTGAAGTGCTATGATGTCGGCACTTTTACATATATTTCTCACCGAATCAACAGATCCTTTTACACCTTTACAATTAAAAGTAGCTAAAGTTATTCTTGTATTATCAGGCACAATCATTTTTGGTTTTTTTTTTTTTTTTTTTTTCCTGTCTGGAGCCTTAACATCGTTTTTGAAAAATATGAATCGTCTAAAACGTATTCCTTCCGGCCAAAGAGTGTCATCCAAGAAAGTATCTAATTTATGACTATTAACAAATACTTTAAAAGCATTATAGGGCTTGTCCGACTTCATATTTATCTTTTCTACTTTTACATTAGTCCGAGTCTTCTTTTTTATATAATCTGAGATGTCTTTTTCCGTGGTTTGTTTACCAACATTAGATATAAACAAAGGTGTGTAGTACTCCGCAGCTTTGAAAGCACCTAAAGGGGACGATAATGCCCGGCCCGTCCTTCCCACGAAACGATTTTTTGATTTTTTTATTGTTAACAATCTTCCATTCACCATCATTTTCTGTAAGGCCGCCCGCTTCAGTGTTATCATATTTTTCCAAAGTGGGAAGTTTGGCTAAACAGTCTATAACACTCTTATTAACATTACTTTCTAACAATGTCGAATCTAAATTCGTAGACACGACAGTGCTATACGTGGCGCCGTTTGCGTGACAGAGAGAGCGATACTTAGGTGTATTATTTACATCCGTAATCACATTATCTGCATGATAGCTCATATTTGTAGTGGCGCCTTCGTCGTGTACGCTCGCCTGCGACTCGGGCACGGACGGCAGTGACGTCGGTGAGACATCAACAGCTGTCTCGGAAACATGCGATAGTCCAATCGGCCCACTATCCATCACAATATACCCACCTCTTCTCGTATTGATGTTCGAGTTATAGCAACAGTTATTCATGCTATTGTTATTGATCTTTATATTTTCCAATTCTTCTTTCGTAAGATAATTACTCTTTATTTTATTCACATCTTCACGTAACAACAATAAATCTCTCAACAACTTAGTTACATCAACATGATCGAAACAAATAGGGGGTAACTTGTCCAAATTGTATGCCACAAATATAGGTATTTGATCCGGTTTAGCAGTTTTTAGCACTGCTAAGATGTCTTCTAAGTCCTTTTCTTTCTTTCTTTTACGCCTTGACACGAACTTATGTTTTGTTTTCAGCGAAGTAAATAACAACTGTTTCGAACATTCAATGTCTTCTTCCGAAAACGCCGATTCACAGATCCTAATAAGGCTTTCATTATCCATAACATCCAGTTTATTATGGATGAACGCTAATACTTCAGATATAACCACATTACAGTTCACGCACTTAATCGTATTCACATTGTTTACACTCATGTTTGCCGATTACTAACGGGGCGACACGTCGCTACCGCGCTCGCAGTCGGATTATTGTCTAGGGCTCTTTGAGAAGGATACGAATGAGTAAGAAATGCACATCACACACCAAAACTTCAATTTCAAAATCTGTCTTTAAACAACAAATGCTGAAAATGACGATTCCTAACGTAATTTTTAAGTTGTGATAAAAACAAGCAAATGATTTTCTTTTCGCGGTATATTGCAATCTGCAATGTCGGTATCGCTGGAGCTCGGAAACGAAATAATTTCTAACTCAGTGATATTAGGTAGCTTCAATAATAGGATTATTTCACTGCACAGAACCCTAATAGAGCAATAATTGACTCGCGCTTTGCCAGGCTATTGGTATAAATCAGTATTTTGTCGAGATGGTCCCATGTTAATTAGGTGATAATCTGTTGAGTACTTTGGGGACAAGGAAACTCTTGAATTAGTACAGTACAGTACTAATATAAATAAGTTAGTCGATGCTATTTTGGATTTTTGGATTAGGTAAAAAAATATTTTTTGTAAAAAATCGTATTATTGTAGTTTGAGCATTTAACCGAGGTCGATTTCGATTATTCTTATTTTATCGTGTGGTACATAAAATAGAAAAGAAAAATATTTTTTCTCAAAACTTGACAACTACTCTGTTAATCACTGAAAGATCCTTTCTTTAGAAGAAAGGTAGATTTAATTCCTTCATATTAAATGTCTTTAACTTTATTTTCCTTCGTTTATTCTTAATATCCAGCCTCTCCTTCTACACTTTCAATATCGATCCCTTCATATTCAACTTCATTTCTTTCTCTTTAATGCTCAACTCTGCAAAGCATTTCCTATTATTATATGATAATCTTACACACGTTGTGTTACATTATCGAAGTTTTCATACGGAACCCACACGGAACCCTAACTTTTTTGAAAATACACAATCAGTGATAATGAAGCATTCAAATGGTGAAAGAATTTTTAAAATCGGTCCAGTATTTTTTGAGCCAATTCGCTACAAACATACTTACATACAAATATTTCCTCTTTATAATATTAGTATAGAAGTATAGATTTACTCCACAAACAAATAAAAACAAAAATGTTCTTTAAATTAAAGATTCTCGCATGACATGACATTTATGTCATTTTTGAATGATGTCTTAAAGGGCTGGCATGTCAAGTTTTTCTGGTGTGACCAGAATATTGACTCTGCAAAGTTCGACTGGTTCGTTCGTGGCTCGACTTTAAGCTCTAGCCCGTGGTCGAAGGATTTCTCTATGATATTTGAACGATAGGTCCATACTCACCTTGCTCTAGCATGTCTTTAGCTCATCTCTAACCAAATATTTTAACACTCATATCTGACTTTCAAAACTTCAAAAACTCTACTCAAGAGAAAAACACACTTTTGTATTTTAAATGTGTTTCCCATTGAGAAGAGGATAAATTGCAGAGAGTTATGTACATTCTCAAATCTCGTACGCCACGTTCTGATACAGGATCTAACAGAACAAGCGCCACAGATCAAAAACCAAGAAAAGCTGATGCAGGCACTTGCTACGAAGTATTCAGGAATAACACAACAGCAGTAGAAGTAGTAGTGAAAGAGGTCCACAGCAAAACCAAGAATAGCAATCAACATGCAGAAGCTCAGACGAATATGCGTACCAATATCGCGAAACTGGAGGGAGAAATCGAAAACTTAAGACGAGAGCTTGCAAAATCCAACGCTGATCTAATTAAAACAAAGAGAGGATTCAAGCGTATTATTGTGGAAATGAAAAAGCAGCTGGATACAGTAAATAGTCAAGAGTTAGAGAGGCAGAAAGAAACCTTAACTTTGCAACTAGAAAACGAGAAATTGAAAACTCTATTGGACTTTAAATCAAACGTAATAACCAGATTCAAAAAGGAACTAAATATTATGAAGAGGTTATTGAAATTCGCTATGAAAAGTATGTGTTTAGTTCCACAGACGACGGAAAATATATCTTTCAGTTCTGATACGGACTACGAGGAATTCGAAAATGATTTTAAGAAAACTCTTAACGTTAAATTTGCAACGAAAATACTAGATAGCATGGGGACTACCCTTGATAGCTCTATAACGAAAAGTGCAAGGGGTTCTTTTGAAAATAAGTGACTGTACGTGGCCGTTTTTGTTTGTATGAATCAATTTTAAATAATGCAATTAGTAATTTATTAATAATAGCCAATGTAAACATGTTTGATATAAGTATGCTTTCTGTTTTTGTCGATCTATTTACATACAAATAAATACATTTGGAATAAGGTATTATGGATTTCGTTTGTAAAATTTTTATAGATGTCCTCAATTCAATGGCTACATAATAGTAGGAACACAAAACTGACCAATAACATTGTTTCGCAGATAGGTGAGTAATTTTGCTGGACGGATTAGTATTAAGTGCCTCGCTGTCGCTGAGGTGAAGCATAAAGCAATAGAATAAGTGAGAAGTTGTTGACGCAATGGTAAGCGTTTTTGATCTGCAATCATGAAATTTATGTAATTTTCGCAATGGCTGGTCATAGGATGGAGCAAAAGTTACTTATTGCCACTAATCCACACTGCGCTTGCGTGGTGGGTCATGGCTTATCCTCCCTATTCCATCCATTGGGAATACTTGCACTAGAGCTGTGGGGACATTAATAGGCTGACGGTTGTATATTATAATACATTAAACTGCATGTATAGAAGTCACGTTGATCTACTAGGTAGTTGTGATTGTAATGGTTGGCATTCACATAGAATAGCCAGATTTGGAATCATCTCCATTGCATTCTCCTGATGATAATGAAATCTTCCGACAAACGAGGGGGAGAGGGATGTTCAATTAATTTTTAGCTTAGCCCATATTTGTAATTGTCATCAGAAAACATTTTTCAGGACTTTGGATTAATGACATCTTCATAAATAATAATGGCATATTATTTGTATTTGTATCAAAGGGCACAGACGTGATGCTTATTGCAGCTTCTTTTCATATAAGAAACAAAAAGTTTTCCAATCTTCTTATAGAGTTTATATATACCAAAGTTCCCCAAGATCTGATTGAGCTTCCACTAACCAAATTTAAATCTCAGATTAAGAATACTCTTATGAATAAGGGCTATTATAAAGTTAATGATTATCTAAATGATCGAAATGCATGGGCATAGTGTTTCTTGTAATTTGTTATTTGATGGGTATGAGTCAGTTTTTGAAACAGTAATATGGTACCTATCTAATGCCGCTTCCTATATACTAAATATAAAATTTATTGTAACTATATATCTATATCCTTAATAATGTAATGGAAGGTGATTTCAGATGTATCTCTGAAATCATTTTTCAACTTGACGACTCTGTATATATCAATACAGGGAGAAAAAAGCAGCCCTTGCTGAGTTTCTTGCCGGTTCTTCTCAGTACAAGGTCTCCCGCCATAGTTTTGCGAACCGATGGCGTAGCTTCTTGACCTTCACAAGTGCTTGTAACAGCCTAGACTGAATAAATGACTTTTCATTTCATTTCATTTCATTTCATTTCATACGGTTAGCTGAGATTCTTCAACATATTTTCAATATTATTAAATTCAATAACACTAATTAACGTGATTCTTTGGGTGGTAAACAAGCGTATGACGCTTGCAATAGCATAAATATCACTTGCGCCGTTGCCTATCTTGACCCAATACCCTAGCCCGTGGAGCCTTGGAACCTTACTCACCGATAGAAATATAACACCACCAAAAGGAAGTGTTATTTAACTGTAGTATTCTGTTAGGTGTAGGTTACTTTCCCACCTAGGCGTAAAAAGCGGCGACTCATGACTGGACTCCGCAGTTACGCCTGGAGGGTGAGGAGTAGATCGGGGAGTTGGTTTACCTGGTAGGTACCGGAGCTGGTTAGCTGGCTAGCCGCTCGGACTGCGGTCCGTGAGACTAGTCAGGTGACGCTGTGAACTGAGAAGCCCAGGATCGGCTAAAGCGGGTGCGGACCGGGCTGCCGGTCGGAGGCGGGGTGGTTTGACGTATGCCACGCTTGCACTCACGCACGTCAAAGTATACCTCCGTTTATAGACGACGGCGCCTTTAAGAGGCACACCGCCGAACGGACCTCACACCAGGCTCCCGAAAACTTTACGAGCCCCCATAGTGGCTGCCCACTGAGGACCCCGTAACTCTTACGGGCGCTTTATGGTATAATATCCGCTAAAAAACCCTGCGAATACCCTCTAAGCTGCTTAGTGCGAAACCGCGGGATCCCCGTTTAGGAATCCACGCAATTACCTGCGTCGCGAGGGTTTGTTAACAGCAAACCAATGTGACGTTGGTCATTGTCGTGGATATAATACATTTTTTCTCCCTGTCACCGAAAAAAAAGGTTACTTTCCCAAACAGGCACTCCAATTTGAGCAGTAAATCCGTAGTAGCCCTATCATGTTTATTCGATGAAATAGTGAAGAGATGCATTTCTTCTGCTGATGATTGAGACGGGCATGTTTAACAAAAGGTGAGTGTCATTAGAATAATGGACCCTTATAAGCACTGTTCTATCTAGAAGAATCAATTCCGGAATGCAAGCGGGTGACCCGGTTGCCAGGGCGCACGCCTGCATGACCGGGTCACCGTGTGACCGGGTCGGGCGGTCACAGCCCGTTCGCTCCCGTTACCCGGTCCCTCGGAATACCCGGCTACACCCGGCTGCCGTCTACTCGAGTGTTATTTTATCGGATTTGACGCTTTTTGAGTACGCCTTAGAGCATAAACGAGCCGGCAAGCGTCCTTTCTCGAGTTCCATTTTAATTATCATCTACTCCACGACGCCATCTTGCTTCTAAATGGAAATATAATTTGAATCGTCTCAATTTCTTTAAGTTCGTAGCACTCGAGTAAATTATATTGCCTTAGTTCAAAAAATGTAGTAGTGCACAAATATTTCTAAGCTGCATTTGAAGTTTCATAAATTTATTTCAAATTCATTTATATCCACTAACCACAGATCTTTATATAACATTAAATTAAATAATCAATGGCATAAATTAATATCAGAACACGCTAATCATAAAAATAAATAAAGCAATATCCTGCTATCATGCAATATTTTCAGTAACTTATTTTTTATTTTGTGTAACATTAAATTTGTTTCGAATCATTTTCACATTAAATGGGGAAAAATCATTTTATTACTTAATCGCAATAAATATATTGCTACTCGTGTAATTTTTGCAATAAAAATGATTAATGGTATACTCGAATGGTCTCTGCCACGCGATGGCGGAATTATTTTTCAATATGCCGATAAATAGATGGATACATTTATAGTCGGACCATTGAACTGTAGACATATGAATGGATTTCGGAATTCCATTTAGTAGGTCGTTAGCGTTAGTTTTTATAATTTCGAAATCCCTGTCTTTGTCAATAAAGTCACAGAGTTAACAATTTCAAACTGTGAAAAGTTATAGGTACACAAGGAAGTTATTTAACTTAGGCCGTGTTTCCACCAGCAAGAAAACTTGCAAGAAATGCCTGACAGATTGTCCAGCAGCAACTTGCAAATGTAAACTGTGTTGTTGTTACGTAATTTACATTTTCAACTTGCAGTCAGACAGATTTTCGGACATTTCTCGCAGAAGTTTTCTTGCACATGGAAACGCGGTCTTAAATTCCTTGGCAATAAATAATAAAATTATAAAATATTGCTTTAATTGATATTGTAAAAATTACTTAATTTTTTATGGTCCTCTTCGATCATCTTTTAACTAATGATAAATCTATTGATTTCCTGAATTCGCTTCTTCTTCTTCATTCCAGATGGTTTTAGAAACTAACCTACTTCCCGGGACCTATACGTCCTCAATTAATTTCCGTTTGAATTGAACATTCGATTTGATCAATCGGCACCTAGTTTGCATCGATTTCAAAGACACCGCAGCGCACCAGTTCTAAAATTCGAATGTAGGTCAGTTCGCTAGAGATTTTTTGGAGGAATTCATAAAAGTAGAATTATTATAACTGCCCAGAAATTGTTCGTGATTTTTTTTCCTAATAACAACTAAAAAATATATGTTTACTAGTAAGTAAAATATCATGTGCGGTGCGCCATATTATTATTATATTATTTCTAACAGTCACATTATGAATTCGCCTAGCCCCAAAGTGAGCCCTGTAAGGCTTGTGCTTTGGGATACTGGGGTAACGGATAAAATATAAATTGTTTTTTTTTATATATAAATAAATATAAAGAGCCATGACTAAGGTACTACATATCTCGTATTCATCATACACTGTCCCACTAGGATTCGAACCCTGGACCTTTGAGTAGGCGACACCTAGAAACTCGGTGTACTACCACCATGGAGCAGCAGCAACTCACCATAGTTCGTGAAAATGAAAAGTCCGCGACTATATAAATACTATATTACAACTAGTATAGACGACCTCCGTGGCCGAGTGGTTTGTACGCCGGGTTTCAAGGTTTCGCCTACTCAAGAGGTCTCGGGTTCGAATCCCGGTGGGGGCAGATATTTGTGTGATGAACACGAGCATTTCTACTCTAGCCATGGATGTTTGATATGTATTTCTATATAAATATAGTTATATATGTACTGTATATGTATTCTATCTGTTACCCTTATATCGCATAACACAAGCCTTACAGTGCTTAATTTGGGGCTAGCCTAATTAGTGTGAGTGTAGGAAATATTTATTTATTATTTATTTATAGTATTAATTTGTTTCGCATTGTTTTGAAAAAAAAAAGAGTATAAGTATTACTTATTATTAAGATATGAAGGACAACTTAAATAAACTTGAGCAACTTCAAAAGTTTTGAACCAGATTTGTATTTTTCTTGCAAATATGATAACGTTTCTAAATTCTCTAAACTCAAGTGGCTTTCCTGCAGTCTTTGCCGGAATACTCAAATATTTATGTTCTTTTACAATATTTTCTTTAATCCCTTTTACACGCGCCATATCAAGGAACAAGTGTGTTTTTTTGTTTTACTCAATCAATTAAAAACTACCGAACAAGTTTGGATAAAATTTAATACGCATCATATACCTGGATTGAGACGTAGAATACTTTCTATCCCGGAAAAAATTTAGATGTATGAGAGATTAAAACTAACTAAAGTTAACGCGGACGAAGTCACGGACTACCGCTACTGTTTATATAAAAATTAAATGCTTTTTGAGAATCCAATCCAAGGTCGACTCGCCGGGACATCGGGTAAACAGGGATATAATCCGTATTTATAGTGGCACCTAAGGTTAAGGTTTCTTGTTTGTAATACCACTAGCGTAGAAAGCTAAGCGCCACTTAAGCTTAACAATGCAAGGTAAATATAAAACGATAGAGCTTTCAGCATTGGAAACTTAACCTTACTAAGAGAGTTTTTATTAAAAGTTCATATCGTGAAATAATACCATAGTATTATTATAAGAGGAGTAGAATAACTTTCTTTTTCAGTTGATCATTTTAAACACAATCATTGTTTTTTTTTTTATAGCCAATGCAGTCGTTACATTTTCATGAATACCTACATTAGTTAGTTAAAACTGTAAATTTCCTTTTTTATGACACAAGTTTTAGCTAATTTGTTGGTGTCCTCTATTTTGAAAGTGTTAAATAGGACACATGTAATATTGTTATACATTTTGTACATTTATGCTTATCCCACATCTGCGTGGCGAAGCTTCGGGTGGCTTTGGTTATTAATACGCTAAAATTAGCGTTCGAAATATGGAATTTGTAGGCGCGGCGAAAGAGGCGTACTTAGCTTCTTTCGCCGCGCCTACAAATTTATCGTTTTCCACAACCTTTTTTAGCGTGTCAACTAATCGCCAGTCAAGTTATCGTCAGCCCGCTAATTCATTACGACAGAACTAATTCAAATTTCGAACGCTAAGTTTTTGCGCGTTTAGTACCAAATCCACCCAAAGCTTTGTCGCGCAGGTATGGGATCATTACGCTTATCCCACACCTGCGTGACAAAGCTTCGTCTACTTATTGCTCTAATATTAGCGTGCGAATGTTCGCCGCTAGAGGCGCATTTACGTTCATTCACCTGCAGGAAGCTGCGATCTCCGACTCCTTTAGCTAAATAAGCATGGCGGATTCATTTTAATAGGGTATTTGACAAGTTTTAGAAAACGATCTCACGTTATTGACTAATGTTAATGGAGTCCGTAAAAAGTGATGAATATTCATCATTCTGTTGTGTATTTCAGTAAAAATAACCAAATCAAAAATTCCATTTTCAAGTTGCCGCGAAAACGTTTTTCTGGACAATATGGCGTCTTACTAGTGTGTGACGTCACACGACTGTTATTAAAACGTCAAACGATACAATGTAATGTCACTTTAACCGGAAGTTTACTTGCGTGTGACGTCATTTTAGGCTCCGCCAATCCCAAGCGTTTCGTGACAATAGATAAGAAAACTATTATCTTTTTCGTGGGTTTTTAGTAAAATATTTTTTTTTTGTAAAAATAGTAAAAACCCCTGCCAATATTCATTCTAAACACAGATGTGAACAATTGGCACTTTATTTTTAATACTGTCAAATACCCTATTTTAGCGCATTATAACACAAGTTTTTGACAGCCTGTTGGTGTCCTATTTTGCTACTGATAAAAAGGACATGTAAAATTATTATACATTTTGTAGTGTTATGCATATCCCACACCTGCGAGACGAAGCTTCGGGTGGTTTTGGTACTTAAATGCGCTAAAATTAAGTACGCTTCTGCATACAAATTTATCGTTTTGCACAACCTCTTTTAGCGTGTCAATTTATCGCCAGTGCAGCTGATGGAGCGTACTTAATTCAAAGGTAGAACGCGAATTTAACCGCATTTAGTTCCAAAACACCCAAAACTTCGTCGCGCAGGTGTAGGATAAGCATTATATAATGCTTCTTTCCGTAAAACACGTGAGTGGCTCAAGCATTCCATTTGCGGATAGTGAGAGAAAGAAGTGACCATAGCTTTTTGTTGGAATATTGGTCACAGTAAGTCGGTGACAAAGTAGAAAGCACGCGTGGTTCTCTGAAGGAAGGTAGGATAAGGGAGAACTCTCTTAGATCACTCACTGGGTCTTATTAAGAGTTCTTTTAAATCTTTCATAACTCGTTACCTAGCACCCGTTCAGGACATCTTTGATTGATAAGAAGAACGGGTGCAACATATCAGCTTTGCTTAAATAAGTAGCGACACATCACCAATCATGTGGTAACAACTGCTTGGGGGCTCGACAGCTCGATGAAATGGCTGCTTCAAGCTTCGAGCAGTCCGTATATGGCCGCTCATATGTTGATATCCAAATTTAATTGTATCTAAAATAAATACCGAAAATTTTATATAAACTCATCTCGTTACCCCATATATCTATGTATCATATTTGTTTCTTAGGTTTTCACGCACATCACTCATTAAATAAAACTAGTTTTAACGGGTTAATGCACGAATTTTATTTATTTATTGACGTTTTCAGCCTTTTCAGGTCTGCATCGTCAAAATAAATAAATAATCAATCAATAAATAAATAAAGTTCGTGCATTAAAACCCGTTAAAACTAGTTTTATCTATCTAACTATCAGTTTCCACCAATTGGCTTTAAAAAAAGTTTTGTAACGCAATAACTTAGTTTATTGCATTTTTCATCAGCTTCAAAGAGGGCATGAAAATTCACTGTGCACCCATTTATTTACTGGGCTGATGGACTCGTCCTGGCGAGGCGACTGCGGCCGAGCTAGGCCGATGGCGCCCGACCGGGCTAGCCCATCAGTCGCTTTACAACCTCCGCGGGTTGCGAACCTCTGCGCCCTCACACATGTGAACTTTTTTATGTACTGTGGCTTTGGCATTCGATTTTTAAATAATCGAATAGACTTTTTTACTTTTTTAGTGATTTTAAAGATGGGTCAAGAGGCGTGCATACGACACGAGTAGGCCAAAGAAGGTGCGTATATTTTAGTTATTAACCATGCTTTAGGCAGCTAGTTTAGGCACGCCGCACCGGCCGCGCTTGGGTCAAGCAGGCTCTTATAAGTTATAAAAATTTTGACATCTGTAGCCGTATTAATGGAAATTAAAAAAAAAGAATTTGGTTAGGATTATTTATGTCTTTTACGGCAGCGGCATTATATTTTACTTTTATTCCAGATAAATATCATTTAAACATGAATGCACTTTTTATATTATAATATGCTAATAGGAAATCATGTACTTTGATGTCTATCTAATTTTTTTTAATCTTTTATGTGTTTATGTACATTTTTTTTACAAATTCGGTTTGACCTTGTACTTATTTGTTCAGTTGTTTTGTTCGAAATTTTGTGGTTTATTTATCAAGACAAGACTCAGATAAACCTCTTATATAAGTACAAAAGATATAATGCGTATATTTTATATGTATAAGTTTGACAGTATTAGTTTTAAAAATATTTTTTACAAATTACACAAATAAACTCGCTCAGGAAGTAAAACTTTATTCATCAGTAACGCTTAATATGTGCAAGTCTTTATATCCATCCAGTATTGAAAAACTTAATTCGAGGTAGTTATCAATTACTTAGTCTAATCTTCCATACTAGTTTGGGAGCGAAATAAAACTGAGAATGTGCCAGCTGATAATTTTCCTGCATGAATAGCAACTGTATATAGTATATAGGAGGAGCTCGATGGCACAGATGGTTAGCGCGTTCGGCTGCGATGGTTGAAGTTAAGTAACTTTCGCAGTGGTCGGTCATTGGATGGGTGACCAAAAACTTCTATCTCAAGTTCCTCCGTGCTTCGGAAGACACGTTAAGCCATTGGTCCCCGCTGCATCTGCAGTCGTTAGCACCCACCAATCTGCACTGGACCCGCGTGGCGGGTCATGGCCCAATCTCCCTATTCCATCCATAGGGAAGGCCTGTGACTCAGCAGTGGGGACATTAATAGGCTGATGATGATGATGATGGTAGTATATAGGTATATACATTGAAACCATAATGCTGGGCTGGGAGCCAATGACAAAAAAATGTATACATCCAGCCAGCTGTTTACCTTAAGGTTTGCTTGTCATTATTATTTCCACCAAATGTGGGTTGTTGTTCATTTGTCACAAAAACAAGTATGTGTAAACTCACTACAATTCTTTTATTATAAAGGCAATTGCATATAGATTAACTTTCAATGTATGCAATAAATAAATATGTGACGAATGTAAAACAAACACTAAATATAGCTTGTGATAAGGCTTACATTGTTATGTTTATAATTATTTTTATAGCACAGTGTGACCTAAACCCGCACTTTACGCACGCTTTTCCGTGACATAAGTTGCCTATTTCTGCACGGTGTGTAAATGAATTGACCAACTTCACTCATGTACAATTAGTACATTACAATACGCGTAACTTAACTTTACTATGCCAATCAAGGAATAAACGTTCATGGATACATTGAAATTCTATTTTGTTGTAATGATATTTGATTTTTTTCTTTTGAAATATACTTTCAAAATGGTAATCTGAACCGGAATTCTTTCTTTTCAGAGTTTGACTTGCAGTCTGTATTGCAATTCTTTGTGATTGCAATACATGAATTTTACTTTCAAAACACTAATCGCAACCCCCCCCCCTCTTACCCGCGTCCGGGGCGGGTTTATGTCACACTTGCTATGAAATAGTATAAGATACTTGTGGCCTAAGTTGTCTATTACTGCACGGCGTGAAGTTAGCGCCCGACGAACTTCACGCCGTGCAGTAATAGGCAACTTAGGTCACGCGTATCGTAATGTACTAATTTATCAAGTTTTTGCGTGTTTGATGCAACCACTCAAAAGATATAACTATAAAATAAATAAATAAATATTTCCAATACTCACACCAATTAGCCTAGCCCCAATGTAAACACTGTAGGCTTATGTTATGGGATGCTAGGGTAAAGGATAGAATACATACCTCTATACTAATGCATAAATAAGTATATTTATATAGAAATACATATTAAACATCCATGAATGGCGTACAAATGCTCGTATTTATCACACAAACATCTGCCCCACCGGGATTCGATCCCGGGACCTCTCGAGTCGAGGAACTAACCGTAACGGAATGTTTTTCTTTTATAACTAGCTGTGCCCCGCGGTGTTACCCGCGGTTGATTAGGGATATTTTCCCACAGTAAATGTAGTTTATGTGTTAATCCAGGGTGTCAGCTAACTCCATACCAAATATTATTAAAATCGCTCCAGCCGTCTAGACGTGAAGAAGTAACAAACATACACATTCATTTTCCCGTTTAAGACCATTTAACAAAAAAAAAACATTTGGAAGTCGAAAATGGCATCTTTCATCATGGCCATTTTTTTTAAATATGAACCTCGTGGGTATCGTGTGAAAAAAGCTTCACTCGAAAATCTCACATTATGGAGGTTCTTTATCAATCCAAAATATCTATTACTATAAAATCGGCGATTTGATATTTTAAGCCTCATCATTTATTTATTAAAGATGAAATTGTCATAATAATGTAGCAGTCAATCGTAGCATTACGTTCTGTTACGATTGCTACGGCAGCGTTACGAAAATTATTTTGACATACTACAAAACGTCTATTGCTACGAGTTCACCTTTCTTTCGTAGCGTTAAATAGATTTCAGAATGTATACAATTTGCTTTGGAGCAAAAGAGAGCTGATTATTTTGTTTAATATCATCAAGTTTACTGATTTCAAAGAAGAAGAGGTCAAGTCAGGAAGTAGCAAACTGTAATTCACTTCTCCAGTTTTTGGAAGGGCACAAATTTCAAATATTTCTAATTTTAATCTTAATTCATATGCAATGTGTTTGTTCTTTTTATTTTTGAGTTTTTACCCAGAAAAATATCATAGTAAATACGCCGAAGGGAAATGAAGAAATCAGGGATTTCACAAAATCCCTATGAAAACCAGGAAATCACAGTAAATGATAAATATCCTCGTTTATTACAGTTTTAACATTGAAAATATTTTTTCGTTCGCGCCAGTAGGCCTCCATTTTCGTTGAAAGTGCTACACGCCCGTGAGGTTCAGGGCCGCAAGGATGAGGGCTCAAAAGATGCGGAATTTGAAGGGTTTTAAGAAGATGTAAAAACTATTTTGGGAAATCCAAAAAAACGACTTTTTTCGACCGAAAAATCGTGTGTTTTCACAGAAAATTTACGATATCTGGAGAACGGGGCTGAATTTCAAAATGATGAAAAAAAAATCACCATCACCTCCGTGTTAAACCAAGGAACATTTTAGGTCATTACATTTCATTACACTTTTTTCGATATTTTTATACTTTTTACGGTTGAGGCTGTGTAAGTGCCCTGAGCCGCGATTTTGCGCGGTGCAATATCATGCGGCGAGCGGCTCGCGTGTTTATTTTTTATATTTTTTTCCTTTTGTGGTATCGTGGTGGATATATCCCTGGTTTCCTCATTGCCTTGCAACTTGGTCGGGTTAGATTACTTATGATTTATAATTAAGAGAATTTCTTCATTATACTTCATACAATTACCAGAGGCAGGCTATTATTGGAGGTGCATAGAAAGTTAAGTATATAGTGGTCTATCCTAAAGTACTCCTCAGATCTTTAGCAAATTTAGGCGTCGTCCAAATTTGCAAACGTTCGTACGATGAAACGATGCGATCTCGTCGTGCGATGAGTTCAAACATAACGATTTCTTCAAAAGTGTCCTAATACAGTTCGTCTGCCGTCTCACGAGAACAGCAACATTCATTATTTTCATCGCAAGATGAGATCATACCGTGTCATCGTACGATCGTTGCTAATTAAGACGACGCCTTATAAGTGACCTTTTAAAAAAATTGCTGCTTCGAATAAAAATGAGATGTGACAACCTCTTTTTTAAAGTGAGTTAAAAAGAGTACTTTCGTTAATTGTTTATTTGCAACCTAACATTAATATAGTAGGAGTACTTTCAAAGGGCTCCTTAAGTGGTTTTAAATGTAATATCAACGTCGTTAATTGACAAACAAACAAATAGTACGACCTATCTATTTCATAAAATAAAATCGCCACGGAGGGAGTATTTAAGTTACCTACAGAAGGAGCGTGTGTTAAGCTGCCAGTCCTGTGAAAACAGGCATAAATATCCGAGTTGTGATAGGAAGCCGCAGCCACAGTCTGTTACCGGCAGATATTTACCCGTGTGATTACACTCGCACCCGGATTTATTAACTCGTCAAATACGGGTTACTAGTCGCTACTCCCGGTACGTAGGGGAGACCACGGCAGAATGGGATACTAAAGAACAATTATCTCTTAATTCATAAAAAATATCAGAAAGCAAGATTTCTTATTACGCTTTATATAATTAACATGATTCATAGGCTAAATTGTAAAATAAAAATAATATTGGAAATATCCATTACGCCCACTTACAGTAGATAGCAGGCGCAATCGTTACTATTTTCACAATTTGATGAATCTAGGTCTGTCTAGTTTGGTGAAGTCCCTCAACGGGGATCTCTGGGGCTGCTTAACGGCTTATCCGTGTCGCACCCGTGAGACTTGCGAGAGGCCAGGTGTGAGGTCCGTTCGTTGGTGTGCCCCTTAGAGGCGCCAACGTCTGTAAAAAGAGGTTTTACCTGCGTAATAAAAAAAAGGTCTGTCTAGTTTACTTTCTCTTCTCATACCATCCTCTTACCATTTCCCGCGATCTGCTTTACGTTTATATTTGCGAACCATCTTGACTAATAATATTAGTCATTTCTAATCTGAGACTTAGAAAACTGTATGTAAAGGGCACACATTGATTACTTACTTCATGGCACATAATTATTTATCACAAAACTTCGTAACACAATTAACAAATACTAAACAGTCTTTATTAGGTAAAGAAGCAAAAGACGCAGCGTCAAGTTTGTCTCTGGCTGACTGACGTAATTCGACTGAATTTCATTCGAAGGACGTAAAGACGACCTTCGTGGCCGAGTGGTTTGTACGAAAGGTTTCATGGTGTCGCCGACTCGAGAGGTCCCTGGTTCGAATTCTGGTGGGAGCAGATGTTTGTATGATGAATACGAGCATTTGTACTCCAGTCATGGATGTTTAATATATATTTCTATATGAATATACTTATATATATACAGTATATGTATTGTATCCGTTACCCTAGTATCCCATAACACAAGCCTTACAGTGCTTACTTTGGGGCTAGGCTAATTGGTGTGAGTGTTCGAAATATTTATTTATAATTTGTTGGCACTGTTGTGTTCGTACGAGCCACATACAGTAACATATTTCCCGTTCTGCTCTACGTTTTGCCCGGTATCCCCTACGTCTCCGGTAAAATCCACTCAAGCAACTCTGTGGCAAACACAACCTCTAGTGAATGTGTCGGATCACATGTAGTGTCAGCCTTAATAGAACGCGAATCGGCGAGCTAATTTACCTTATTATAATGTGGAAGAAGCAATGATACATGATAAACTATAGATATGTTGCGTTCATAGTAATTGCGTTTAAAATATGTTACGACCAATCCAAAACAGTACACATTGACAAGTTTCACTGATAAGTAGAACAAAAGATACGAAAGTGAATGAGATAGCTATAGTTTTAATGATGCACTTCAAATGTTTCGCGTTAAAAATAGTTCGCTCTCTCTTTCTTCTCGTACATATGGCGTCTTTGCGTCAGTCATCGAATTATTTGGAAAAATGTTTAAAATATACTAAATAATCTAAATAATTGGCATGTTTGTCATTTTTTTTGCAAGGACACAGGTCACGCACGACACGCTCGTGATTGCGCTCGACGTAGACGCAGACAAGACGTCCTAATTGGAGAGTATTTGAGTCTTCAAAGCGTGCGTGCTTATAACATATCTGATTTTTGTTTATTATAATATCATTGGGAATAAGTGTTGTCGGTGATAGAGCAACATGGATGTACCTTTTTTTAAGATCAATCTCGATATGTTTGCCAAACTTATTCCAAATCCGCCCAGTCGATTTTGCGTGATTAAGAAATTGTGTGTGTGTTAAATACTATTTGAAGTATAGAATTGATACACACGCGTAATGAATTGATAAAAAAAAAAATCAAGGCTGGATAATTTATAACGCTTTGTACATTAAAAAAGTGAGTATCATGGAACACTCGTTTGGAATCAAGTTAAAAGTAAATACCTACCATAAGGGGATTTCTCCTATAAGAACTTACCATAGATGGAGGAAACTATCATAAAATACTACCATGGATGAGTAAAAATACCATATATAGGTAAACAGTAACTTCTATAAAAACCAAATTTCGCCAAGACCATAACTTTTCATCAAATTGGTGTATTAATACCCAATCTAGCATTTCACAACACGGAAAATCTTATACTGTTTTTCGGCTAGCCCTCATCCGCCATACCGCCCGGAACGGATACCGAAAGGAACTTTGTTCCAAAAAAATCAACATTCATTCTTTATGACATGGCACTAACAGCCGTAGAGCCGAGCCGTACTCCGAAACGTCAAATTAATTTGATACTTTATTATGTCACTTGTTATCTCATTTTATTGTTATTACGAAAGCATCAAATTTAGTCAAACTTTAAATGCTGCCTAAAATGATATTAGTCTAGCAAGTTAAAAAAAAAACACCAAACTGACAGATTTACCCCTGTGTATTCCCAGTTTTTATTTATAGACACAAAATAAGGATTACATATACCTGAATATCTACCATTTGTTCTTATCTTGAGAAATGTGAGGGTTTCAGGAATTTTATACTTGTCGTTGGGTACGATAAACTATTTAGCGACTTTTGATCCCAAATATTTATATTAAATATTTAGGGTATCAGTTAAATATTTTGGATCAAAAGAAAACATTTCTATTTATATAATGTTGGCACTCACATGACTTTTCGTGTTAGCTATTTTTAAATAGTAAATTGTAGTAAAATTTTCTTAGGATTTAAATAAAAAAATAATATAATGCTACTTGTAACATTGACAACTGTCTCTCTTTATCATTCGCTATAGCAAAATCATCATCAGCATATTAATATCTCTACTGCAGGAGCACAGGCCTACCCTGTGGATGGAATAATGATACTGGGCCGTGACTCACCACCAGTGCCGTGTTGATTCCGGCTGCATCTGCAGTTGTTAGACATGCTAACAACTGCAGATGCAGCCGGGACCAACGGCTTAACGTGCCTTCCGAAGCACGAAGGAGCTCAAGATAATATAGTTTTTTGTCATCCATCCAATAACCGACCATTGCGAAAGTTGCTTAACTTCTACGTTTGCAGGCCGAACACGCTAACCACCTGCGCTATCGAGCTCCTCATATACGAGGGACGGCTGAAAAGTTTTGAGCCTAAGTACCAACGATATTAAATACTAAGTACCTTTAATCATCACTATTGAGTAGTGCTACACACCACTAATTGAGGGTATTCTAAATAATATAAATAGCAAGTTTCATGTCATTAGCATTATTACATTTTTAGTGATTGAACCTTAAACATCAACAACATGTCTGATTCTTCAGCGCTTTCTTCGAAATTGGAGTACAGAGCTGTCATAAAATTCCTCACAAAGAAAAACAAAACGCCGACGGAAATATTTGAAGAGGTGTCTGCAGTTTATGGGGAGTCAGCACCTTCATTTGCCATCGTAAAATGTTAGAGCCATGAATTCAAACACGGCAGGGAGTCGCTTGAAGATGATCCCAGGTCGGGACGCCCAAACACCGCCGTTACCGAAGAAAACATTAAAAAAGTGAAAAAAGTTGTTCTGGAAGATCGGCGAATCAAGTTGTGGCAGTTAGCTGAAACCATAGGCATTAGCAAAGAATGAATCGGTGACATTTTGCATAATTATTTGCACATGAAAAAGGTGTGTGCGCGGTGGGTGCTGAAAATGCTCACGTCGCTTGACAAGCAGCGTCGCGTCACAACTTCGGAAGAGTTTTTGGACATCTGTGGCGATTATTCTGACGGTGTTTTTTCTCGCCTTGTTACTGTCGATGAAACATGGATTAGACAATACGATCCGGAGTCAAAACAAGAATCAATGCAGTGGATGAACAAGGGAGAAAAGCCGCCACGGAAATTCAAATTGGAAAGATCGGCACCCAAGCTCATGGCCACTGTTTTTTGGGATTATGAAGGAATTTTGTTCATCGACTACCTCCCCAAAAATACTACGATGAACGACTATTATGCGGCATTGTTGACAAAGGTTTGAGAAAAGGAGAGGCAAACTGGCAAAAGGAGTCCTGTTTTTGCAAGACAATGCGCCCGTCCACACTGCTCGTGTTGTAAGGCGTGCCCTCGCCGAAACAGGCTTTGAAGAAGTAAACCACCCACCCTACAGTCCAGACCTGGCCCCTAGCGACTATTTCCTTTATTCCAATTTGAAAAAGGACCTCCGAGGACGGAGATTTTCAAGTGACGAGGAAATGAAGGCGGCCGTAAATGAACATTTTGAAGGCAAAGACGGCGAATATCTTTTTACCAGGTTAAATGCTCTTTTTAATAAATGTAGGAAGTGCATTAAATTAGAGGGAGATTATATTGAAAAAATATTTTTTTTATACATTTCTATCAGCAGCTATTTTAATACCTTAGGCTCAAAACTTTTCAGCCGCCCCTCGTAGGCAATATACGAAAAATAGGCTTAGCTATATCAAATACTAGCAATAATCTAATCCCGAAAAAGTATTTTTTTGGGATTAGGGAGACTAGATGACTTTCAATTTCAAAATGTTATAAGTACTATGGGTGTTATATCCTTTTCAGTCTTAATGTATTTGTATTTATACTGTATGACACAGCAACTAAAATGTAAGTGGACGTTGTATTGGTAGCGACATGATTTTTTTGTAAATGTTGCTACTTCTGTTAAATGCCGATGAGTTATTTTCTCATCAGCTAAAAGTTGAACTGAATACAAAATATTGGACGATTCAAAAGTGCTTTCAGTAAGTCGATTCAAATAATGTATTTTTTTATTTCATTTCAATCAATTTACAATTAAATAATAACTAAAGCCTACACAATAATCAAATACATATATTTTTTCCTACCAGGGATCTTTACACTCTTCTTCAATAAACATTCTGAGAATTCATAATTCCAAGTTTTATTGAATTTTATGCCAAGCATTAAAATTCGAATGGAGATTTTGAGACGTACAGTTGGTTTGTCGTAGTTGGGTAATTAGAAAAACAGGGGAAGAACAGACATTAAATAATAAACAGACAGAAAGAAGTGCGAATTGATGGATGTAGACTCTCAGGCGCAAATATGTCTAATGTAACTGTTATTCTTGTCCACAGGTCCAACATACAAACCACAGGATGTTTTCCTTATGCCGCCGATACAAAGATGAACACGGTCAGTATACATATTAAACTTTTTACTTACTCAAATAAAAAGAGTTTTAATAAGAAATGTTTGAAATGAGATAGAGCAAACTTAATACCAAATTCATAATGTAGTAAATTATTCCAACAATAGATTGCCATCAGTCCAAACTTTGTCTTGGTACATACCTACCTAAAACTATTGGACTAAAACCAGATTGCGGTATTACAACTGATAGCTTAACCTTATATAAATCGCTACAATCAAATTAATCCGTCCAAGATTTATTGTGTGGCTATACCTACTGTGTCGCTGCTGTCGACAACTGTCAACGCGAAATAGACGCAACGTTTTAATAACAATATAATTCCACTATTCGAAATTCCAGGAACGTTATGCAAACAAACTTCTCACTATACCCTGGGGACAGTATATCTCATGTATTTAATGATGAATTATATATGGAGTACCCTCGTCAGCGCGTGACGGGTTGCACTTTTAACTATTCGGAATGGCGGAGCACTTGACAGCCCGCTAAGCGAATTGTCAAAAGGGGTAGGTAGGGAGAATAAGGATACACGTTTCAAATACCTGCTTATGATATGAGTTTAAATTCGGATTAGCGAAGCTTCCACACATTTTTTTACTAGTGAAAATTTCTGCAGGTGACCTCGTCTGTATTTATTTGGAATTTAATCCTTGCTTTTTGTTCGCGAAGTAAAATTTTCTTCGATATGTAATATTTATCCCATCTTCAAAAATATTTAATATGACACTCCGCCAGGCGTCCATGGATGAAAAAAATCGAGCGAGAATGGGCTATAATATAGCTTACAGGAACAGTTCGTATTGGTGTGTAGGATCAAGTGAAGAACAGTGTAACAATACATTGTACCATAAGGAATATCTCTGCTATTTTCTTATCGATTTAAGGTCTGTCTTGAGGTGTTTTATGAGTTTCATATGTTGCCATCTTAAGCAGGTGTCATCAGACGTCTAATGGCTGGGTATATATAATACAGAGATATTCCTAAGATCGTGATTTGTTTACATCTCTCAAATGACATTTGTAATTTGATGAACAGAAACAAATACACTGTGTCCCTGTTACACTCTCCCCCCAGTTGACCCTACTAAAGAATATCCGGTATATACTTTCAAATTTAAATACTTTATTCATAATCGATCTCTAATAGTAGTTTTTGAGTGTGTTCAGTGTTTATGAAAATTCAAAGCTTTAAAACGAATCCATGGAAGAATCGAGAACAGATGAATCTACGTCTTTTGTTTGACTAAGCATACGACAAAGTATTGACCATTCACAATAGCCTATAGTGTATATAGGTGGCTGATAGGAGGCAACATGCTAGCCTTGTACAGACTTCTATATCGGTCGATGCAAAGTTTGCTTGTCAGTATTATACAGGCTACGTTTTGTCGGAAGTGCCCAAGTGATGCATGAACATGAATCCACATTCCCGTTCCTTTATCAAACTACCAGACAGCGGGGAGGTTTCACCCTCCGTTGTTGTTGTTCCACAGACTCGTATAAGGTGTTTCACTTCCATAATTCATATAGCTAGGAAGCGAGAATGTAACAAAATCGATGACAAACGGCAAACAGGGAGGTAGGGCATAGTTCCGCTTCAATTGGAAAGCCCGTCTGGTGAAGTAACCTTTACCTTACAGAGCACAGTAAAATAACACTACATTTTGTTTTTTTTATGTTATAGGGGGCATACGAGCGGACGGATCACCTGTTGGTGATCACCGTCGCCCATGGACACTTGCAAACACCAGGAGTATCACAAATGCAATGCCGGACTTTAAGGAAGGAGTACGCTCTTTTTTTGAAGGTTTTTGGGTCGTACTGGTCCGGAAACACTGCTGGCGACAATATATTCCACAGTTTTGTCGTACGTTGTAAAAAATTTCGACAAAAACGCACGGTTGTGGATAGCCACGTATCAAAATGATGGGGATGAAATTTTTTATACGATGGCAACAATACAACATGTACGATGGCGAAATGCAGGTTGTTTCTGTAGGTGAAAAGGGTTCAAGGGCTCCACGGGGTAGAGGATTGGGTCAGGGTAGGTAACAGTCCGAGTGATATTTTTGGTATAGCAAGCGTCTGAAGACTATGCAGACCGCTTACCATCAGGCCAGTCGTACGCTTGTTTGCTACCCTTTTAACTTAGAAAACAGCCACCAATAAATAAAGCGCTTTTTGTTTATTTACATTATTAACTAAATGCCGATCAGCACCAAAGTCAACTTGGCAAATTCTCTCTTGTTGTCCATCATCGACTACACTGACGTTGCTACACCGATCTGTCGGAGGAACTCCTCAATAAATAAGAGCGACTGCAAAATGTTTGTATCAGATTCATTTATAATCACCGTAAATTCAACCATGTGTCTCACTTCCGTAGTAAACTAAATTGACTTCTACGGTTTTACGGTACTCTATTCTATACCTGTCCTGCCATCTTCTCCACTTTATCTTAAGCAGTGTTTCTCCTTTTTATCCTCTTCTTTACAGCTCTCGCTGCAATTCTCTTTCAACCTTCTTCTTGAGATTCCCTGTCGCTCTTCTGACTACTTTTCTAACTCCTTTTCTGTGCACGCTGTTCGACAGTGGAATTCACTCCCTGAAGGTATCAGAAAGGCTCATTCACTTAATTCCATTAGCGATGAAGTTAAAAGCTATTTCCTTTCATTATCTGAAATTCTTTTTACATCATTTTTCTTTGCTTCTCTTATATTTTATGTAAGTATATGTCCTGTATCGACTTCAGTTTAGCAATAAGAGCGCCTATTGTATCCTCTTCTTTATTTTTATAACTTTATTGTCTTCTGTTTCTTTGTTGTGTGCAATAAAAAATATAATTATTAATTACATAATTTGAGCTTATATATGGCGTGGTAGTTGCTTAAATATTTTGTACGCCTACACTGTACGAAACTGTGTTGTTAGAATATTCAATTTTTAATTTGGAAGATGGCGTTAGCGGCGGCAACTTAGAGCCTTGTTTTCGGCCTCAATTTTTCCTTCTTGTATGGTGGAGTGAAAATTTGGTTTATAAAATTCAAATATTTTCCATGAATGCGATGAGATAAGAATATGTGATATTCACGTTTACTTTGGTAATTTTCGTTTTGTTTAAATACCTGAATTTTATTTATTCAATAATTATTCTATGATATTTCATCATTTTCTATCATTATTCTTGGCATAATATTAAAACTGCAAACAAGATAGTCATTATAGATTTTTTTTAAATGGCAACCAATACTCCAGAGTCTTAATCGAAAGTGTGAATCATTTCTATTTTAATTAGATAATTATCAATTATTAATGTTTACAATTATACATTATTTTGTGTAAGACATTAATGTGAATAAAAAAGGGCGCGAAAGAATTTACAAAAAGAATGAGCGCCCTCTAGCTGTTAGAAGGTAACTTGTGAACTGTTAGCATTTTGAGCGGCAGTTTTTCCTCAGCGGTCGTGAAAATAGATCCGTGGAAAGGTGGTTTTGACCAGTAAGTACAATTTTTTCACATGTTTCGACAAGAACGATCCAGCTGCGAATCCTGGTACCTACCTATTTACTTCGCAGCAAACACAGAGGCGTATTAAGTTATGGGCATTCGTCACTTTAGACATATTTAGATTTTATTTTATTTACAATTTTTATGGGGTGGGGTCGTAAATCGTAACTGGCTTGAGCATAAACTTAGCCCGCCATAGATTCTGACTGTAAATATTGGCACGATAAGGAAAAAGTTTGCCATAGAGAATCTCTTGTGATATCGGTATACCTATAGCACGAGTTCGCAGAACGTACAAACAGGTTTCATTTTTCTGAGTTCGTTGTATTTCATACCATGACCCTGAGACCCATTATTTTTTCAGTGGAGCTCTGGCAAACTCGCTGCAAAACGAGCGGCTAATTTCACAACTCCCGACCTATAGATTTAATTAATGATTCAGTTATAATCAAAGTCTATTGACCTTAACTTAAATATGTCCCGTCTGAAACCTGGACCGAGTAGTTTTTTTTTCTAGTAATATTTACTTTAGATTCAATTACCTCTTACAGTTAAATGATAAAAATAAAAAATATAATAATTTGCATTTGCAGCTTAACTGAAGGTCATTATTATACAAAATAAAATAGTGTACCCAAAATACTACCTTGTGGCACAACAACGATTTTTTGTTTCAGTAGTTCAGACGTTTATAATATTTTTTTCAATACCATCAAGTGCAGGATAATCGACATGTTGACTGTGATTGCTCAAGTAACTATAAACTTATAAGTACATACCTCCCACACCTCTGTTCATTAAAAATGGCCTTCTTAAAGCGCTTCGCATTTCGCATACCCGTTCCCGCAGAGTAAATTTTTAATTACACGCCTGACACATCTCCCCTTCAGTTAATCGCTCGCCTAATGATCATATGTCACTACACAAATCAGCTGAGTAAATTGGGCCCCCCAGGTGCGAGGGTCGGGTGAGAGCGCGCAGGCGGGACAGGGTAGGCGGCCATTCATAAAACTAAGCACGATCGATAAACGTCGCACCTAACTAGGGTTACCAGGGTTTAAGTTTGAAGAGCCGGATAGATCACACAGTTTACCCGGATATTATATACCTATATAACACTATACTAAAGTCTCCAATGTTGTATAGAGAGCGAAAGAAAATATAGAATACTTTCTAGAGACAGTAAAAATCTATTAATAAACCAGTCAGCCAATTAAGCCGGATGTTGTATCCTTATATGGAAATATACTAAAGTCTCTCAGAATACGTCAGCTGGTTATTTTTCCGACCAGATTAGTAAAAACTATCAAAGTGACTTTGGCAACTATTGCAGGCTATGAAAGTATGACTCTAGATATTGAACAAAACATAGAACCCACTAATGCTAAATGTGGCGTTGTTGATGCGCCACTAGAGAAATGTTTATACCAATGTATATTTAACTTTCTTGTACTGCCTTTTGCCTACGTTTGAC